CATCTATTGTTTTCTTGAAAATGAAAATTGTATTTTCGAAACGTCGAATTTTAATAAAAAATTGAATAATGAAATTAAAAATAGCTGCTGTTATTATCTCTACAGTTTTACGTATTTTTGAATCATTTAGATAGACATCCTATGACAGAAGACACCATTTTAGCATTTGATATAACTTACTTATACACCATGATTCCTCAAAAAGAATCAATTATGGCACTGTGTCGATTTCTAGCAAAATGTGGAAAGTATAAAATCAATAATATATCCATTGATACTTTTGCAAAATTAAGTACACACGTATTAGACAATGCCTATTTCGCATATGAGAATCGACTTTTTAAACAAATAAAAGGAGGACCAATGGGCGTTGCTATCACTCAAATATTAGCTGGCGTTTATATGTTTGAATGGGAAAAAGGTATTCTGGCCCAACAAACAGCAGAAAAACAATTGTATGTACGGTTTAGAGATGACATCTTTTCAACCCCAAGATTGAGCATATTAGATCTCGGACAACACCTTAAATCTTATAATGAGCAAGACCGCCATATAAAACTAACGTATGAAATTGGCAAAACTGTCAATTATCTTGATGTGACTGTTCAATGTCCAGTTGCATGCACGACAGTTTATCATAAGCTAGAAGCTCCACCATATGATAGTCCGCACAGTTTGGTGAAAAAATACAAGGTTTTGAAGAAAGAAGAGGGTGTTCTCTTGAAAAGATACCAAGTTCTGCTGAAAAAATACTAGGTCTATTTTAATCTGATTTCTTGCTAAAACTTTTTACATGAGAATAGCAAAAGTTAGACAAAGTGAATCATAAGCGCTTGATACTACCACTAGGCTATTAACCATTACAGAAAGAATAATAAAATGAGATAACATCCGATTGTCCAGTTTTTAAATATCTCTTACGTCCTCTGGTTGATATTTTAACCGAACTAGCGAGACAAGCTGCAAATGCACTTGGTGGGTATTCTCTTTTCAAAACTCTTTCGACACCCCATATGATGGTGCTCTACGATTTCCTCCATGAAAAATACAAAAAGATCGAAAGACTATATTTGTGTTCACGATAACTGTACAACAAATCCTACAATACTTCGATGACGATATGTGTTCTTTTCATGTGCAATTACTAGCTCACGTGCACGCCATAGTTTACGAAAAAGAATGTTGAAAGTGTCTCGAAGTTTCGATAGTAAGACTATAACAAGTCTGTGTAGATGTTGGATTAATAAATCTTTTTTTATAACGTATACTTCCTACATTGAGTAACACTGATATTTGTTTACGAGCACAACTTTTACAGTCGTGGCAGTTGGAAACAAAGAGCTTGGTAATTAAGGCAAATATACATACTTAATGATAAGATTTTAAACAAGACTTTTTTATATTTCTTACTCATTCTGGGTCAGAAGATATTATATGACTTAATTTGGATAGATTAATAGAACCTGATTATTGGTTTCTCCCCACACTTTTTATAGTAGCGGAATTTGGAAGCAAAGGCGTTGATAATTAAGACAAATATACATACTTGATGAGTCAGAAATATAAAAAAGTCTTATATAAAATCTTATCATCAAGTATGTATATTTGCCTTAGTTATCAAGCTCACTGTTTCCAACCTCCGCGGCTGTAAAAGACGTGCTGATAAATAAATATTCAGGGTTACTCAATGTAGGAAGTACACGTTATAAAAAAAGATTTATACCAACCCAAATGCGACTTCTAGCTATTGTGAAAAGTCTCTATTCACAACAGGCGCAGGGATTCTAATCGGTACACATGTTTGGGTTGTCCTGCTTTTGCTATTCGTTTCATTCGCATACATTTGCGACAAGTATGCTGGTAACAATAACACAACTGGTCCTCAACATGATGGAGACTAACTCTCATCATTTTCATTGCTGTGTTTTTCATCTGCTGATCCTCAACCTACTGATTATCGTCTGCTGATCCTCAACGTACTGATTATCGTCTGCTGATTCTCGTAGAGCACCATCATATGGAGTGTCGAAAGAGTTTTGAAAAGAGAATATCCACCAAGTGCATTTGCAGTTTGGCTAGCTAGTACCAGGTTTTAAGGAAAGAACAGGTGGTCATAGTTCACGAAAAAGAATGTTGAAAGTGTCTCGAAGTTTCGATAGTAAGACTATAACAAGTCTGTGTAGATGTTGGATTAATAAATCTTTTTTTATAACGTATACTTCCTACATTGAGTAACACT